TCATCTTCCTTCTGATAGGGACTTCGCACTTATAGAAAAGCGACACCGAAGGTATGCACCACAAGTTTTTTGTCCAAATGAATGGTACGATATTATACGGCGATCAAACAAAAAAACACCTTTTGCAGTCACAGTTATGACGCAGGAAGATTTTTTAAACTTTACACCTACTCTTACAAACATAAAAAAGAGTTCGCGCACCAATACTGGCCATAACTTAGACTTTGCTAATGCGTTTTCATTTCGATTTAGTAATAAAAATACTAAAGTTTATTACGTCAAACATTCCGTTCATGGTGAGTACGACCAGGTGTCTATCTCAAAACGAGGAAGACCAGTATACACTACACTTGATCAGTTAGATAGAAAGTATCTTGAACCAATTAAAATTTCAAAAAAAAATACGACAATGTAAAGACATTGCTACCTTACATACCTGGCTGTGAATCATGGTTTTTTCCAAAATTTACAGCCGAAAATAACTGAAAGTGCTGAAGAAACAGAGGAACCTGAAATTATTAATGAAGCAGAGCCATTTTCTTAGTTTAAACATTATTTCTTTATATTTATTTTCTTTTTTGAGTTATTGACTTATTTAGTTTTTAATTGAAAATGTTGTCGTTTGTTAGTGCAAAAGTGTTACAAGTCACAATTTTTCTAATAAAATTCTATTTATATATTTATTATAGTTTTCTATATATTTTTTTTATTATTTCAGTATCCTGGATAGATATATACAGTTGTGTTAATAATGTAAACAACCCAAAAGGTAAAAAGACGGAAACATTCATTTTACAGATTTTGTACAAAAGTTCAAAGTCGATTTTCCAATAATTTTATATTTGTGCCTTGTCATTGTTTCACACTAAGCCCTTCAATTTAAAAAAGGAGAAGACGAGTTTTGTTACAAAACGAGTTACAAACAAACAGAGTGGTATCGATTAAATTTCAGACAAAGAATAGGATAAAAAAAAACGTGAGAGATGTAATTATCAAAAAAGCTTACAGCAAGCCATTTCAGCTATCTGAAAATAAGAAAAAAGATTTACTAACAATAAGTTTACTGAATGCTAACCTTATTCCAGCATTTTATAAACCATATTTTAAAAGTATTTTGCAGTAATTAAAAGCAACCATTTGCTTTGTTTGAAGTTTATGTAGCCACAGTACGGTGTTTAAATTTTATTTTATTAGAAACACACAAATTAAAAAAAACGATTTCGTATTTTGCGTCTCCTGTAAAATTTACGGATTTCCAGTTACGTCCATATTCTTCTGGGGCAGCGATATGTAAAAATATACAGGTGCTCCATTTAAAAAAATAAAGTAGGTGGCGACTTCCGGTATAACCAAACGGAAGTGCTAGAAATCTGAAAATATTTTACTCAAAGAGAACGCAATTGCCTTAAGTATTATAAGTCTGAATTCTCAAATTTTTATTTTGGCCAGAACCCTAGAAACATCTAATGACCTATTATTTCATATTTCAATATGAATAATAGCCACTCTGTTCCATTAAAAAAAAACGTAACTTTGTTTTGTCACAACTTTTTGACTGACCTTGTATACTTAATTTCTCTTTATTGTAAGAGATTTTAAAAACAAATTAAAACTTTTGTATCTTAATATTTTTTGCCAGCTATCTTACTTTAGGAGATAACCGACCATTTCCATACATATCAGCGACCTTGTATAAAAGTCATGCAGGGAGCTAAACACAGCATTATTATGCCACAAAAAATTTTTGTATTTTGTCCTCCTAAATTTGAGAAATTGGCCACTATGAGTCTCTTATTAAGACAGATATGAAAAATTTATATCAAAGTTATAGCACATTGTTTAAATTTCCGAGATGGCGGGAATTTTATGTTTATTTATTACATTTACGCCCCTTAGCGGTCGAATTACGAATAAAATAATTTCCAGCTATTTCTCTTGCTCACTTTGCCAATAAGAATTTTTTCCCAAACCTCTAGCCCCTATTATTGTGGAGATACAGCCCCTCCATACCTTTATTGGGAGACCTATCAGCCATACATTTAGTTATTATTAGTCACTTATCATCCATAAGTTAACAATTTTCTTTCCTTGTGCTTCTTCATGCAATATACTGATATAAAATGGTTCTTTGGCGTAATTCGAAGTCACACAATAAAGGTTCTTCTTATCTTTTGATGAGTTATAATACATTAAACCTATTGCATTAAATAATATATTACAGACTTTTACATAAATGAAGTAAATATATAATACAAGTAAAATATAAAATAAAACTGATCTTTGTAATATATTTTTATATTTAAAATTACTTAACTACTTTTATTCAATAATCATATCACTTTTATTGTAATGTATATAATATTTAATAAATTAATTGTAAAAGTATTATTTTCTTTTCATATTATTTGTTTATAAAAATAAGATGCATCTTAGAATCAAATGAATACTACATATATTATAAAAAATACCTTGAAATTGAAGACATGTTGAGTTTCTTCTAAATGCTTTCTTGAAATACAAACATCAAAGGGCTCAATTCTCGAACAGATGTTTTGGGCAAGCAGATTTTTTGGATCAGTATAAAAAGATTGCCGAAGGCGACCCAAAAAGTCATTATTTAGAACAGTCAAAGAATGTTCTTTATCTAAAATCAAATAATTTGATATTAACACTTTAAAATTACGTGATTTCAAGATGGGATGTTTAAAAAATATGTTTAAGCGATACATTTAAGGTTAGGATGCTTCGAATGAGATTTAAGTGATTACAAAAGGATTTAGTTATATTTAGATCTAAACTATTATTAAGGCAACATAATTCTTCGATGATTATGATGAAATTGTATTTGTTAGCAGGCAACGTAAAGAAAAATTTGAGGTTAAGTTAAGCTATATTTGTTTTGGATGCGATTAATACAGATTGGTACAACTTATTAGGAATTATAAAGCTGGTATTCTCTTTTATAACTTACCAGTAGCCATTCTAAAACTTTAAAAGTTGTATTAAAAATCGATTTAATAATTTTCCCTTGTAATTTACTATGATAAACACTTATCACTTTTGACGTTTCTGTTATTACCAACTGTGAAAATGTAAACTTCATTAAATAAAAGACCGGTGAGAAGTTAGCCATACATTTCACTCTTAAAAATTATTTAAACAAAAATAATAATATTATGTAAAAATATAATGTAAATAAATAGCTTTAGTACTAATAACTCCATAACAAAACTTATCAACGTTAGTGGCATTATGAAGGCGTGTATAAAACATTCCCAAATTTTTCAAAAAGAACATCAAAAGGTTGAAATTTTATTTCACAGCCTTATTTCCCATTCTCTAAAGGACAGGAATACGCAAAAACCCCGAGACAGTCTTTTCAGTTAAGGCTTAAAAAAAATGCCAAAGTTTGAATCGTATACAGTGTCCTCCAAAAAGTCAGCAACACCCGTTATTTTTGTTATACAGTGTGTTAATTAATTATCGTACCCGATAAAGTATGCAACCAATATCACAAATTGATATTGCAAGGCCACGAAAGTTCCTAAAAACGATGGCGACAATTTATTAACTTTAAAAGCCGTCTAAAATATATTTAGATATATGTTAATAATTAAAAAAAATTTTTAAATATAAAAAAGGTCTAACTTTCTGTACTTTTATTTAAAAATTTTTTTACTGTAGCCATAGATTGAAATTAATGTTGAAAGTAGTGGTTATTTTGATTTGTTTATTTTTTTATTTATTAACTTATCCCAAAAGGATCAGAAGGATCCAGCACAGGATATAATTCAGCACAAGAAAAGTGTGACTTACAAACAAAACAAAACTTATAAGTATAACTACTCTACAACAACCAAAATAAATCATATCACACTCTACTACAAAACAGAATTAATTAACTGAAAAATAAATAACGAAACATGACTAATCTGTAGATATAATGTTCTTGATATATATTGTAAACCGGCGCAGATTATCATAGTTTCTAACATTTTCCGGCAACTCATTGAACCATAGAGCAGCTTGGTATGTTATTTTCCTTCTACCAAGATTTCTCGCAGTGGAAAAAACATGTATTAGCAGATTTGTTCTAGTATTGTATTTATGTATATCATTATTACATAGAAAAGAAATTGTTGTGTCACTAAGCAAGTTGGTTTTCATTTTATGTGCCAACTTGAGGCTATCGATCTTAATAATGTTCGTTATATTGTAAATTTTCAGTTCACAGTACGCAGTTGGTTACATGCAGCAAAGTTCTTCCAAATAGCTCTATGGCTCCAGCCGGAAACCTTAAAGAAAAAAAAAGTTGAATTTTTCAAGTAAAAGTGTGACGAACTTGTAAAATTAAAAACATTTATGGTTCAAAGCATAAAAACGATTAATGAAAAAACAATTGAGGCTTCGTACTTGGTCAGTTATCAAATAGCTCAATGCGGTGAAGCCTACTCAATTGCAAAAATCTAATAAAACCTTGCGATATGGAGATGGTAAAATGTATGTTAGATGAAACATAACATATACATTACCATTTGCTACTACATATATGTGTGAAATGGGATTTTCAGCTTATGCTCGACAAAAAATAAATATCGCAACAAACTTATTGATATGAGAATTCAACTTTCATCCATAGAGCCTAACATTAAGTATATCTGCGGTAATAAAAAGCAGCGCCATTCATCCCATTAAAAGTTATTTTAATAACTTTTGTATTAATTTTGAAAGTACTTTTTGAAGCAAATAAATATTATTTAAAATAACTCTAATTATTGAATGATAACAGGGATTCCACGATAAATGTGGTCATTAAAAAGTTCAATCAAAAAGTTTAAGAAACGCTGCTCTAGGACAAAGTCTTCTTGAAAAAAATCACCTTTGTGGGAACACTAAAAGAGAATAGAAAAGAAATACCTACTATTTTTTACCCAGCAACGTCGTCCTGTGCACTCAACTATAGAGGGATTTAGTCCACAAGCAACCACTATAGATCCAGAAACAGAAAAATCAGAACAAATATTATTGTATAACAGTACCAAAGGAGGGATTGATACACTGGACAAGGTATACAGTGCATATTCAGTGCAAAGAGCAACGAGGAGGTGGCTAATAACCATATTCTATCATATGATAAATATAAGTGCTGTAAATGCATTAGTATCGTACAACAGCACGAATGCAGACGCAATAAAAGATAAAAAAAACATGGCAGACGCCATTTTATAAGAACTGTAGCCAGGGCCGGCGCGACATAAGCGAAATTTAGGCGGTTGCCTAGGGCGCGCGAGTTTAGGGGGGCGCAAAATTTTGGCGCACGAGAAAAAAAGCCAAAAGTTTTGCACTTTTTTAAATTAATCTTAATTGGGCCAAATTTTTAACAAAAGCGACCACTGTATTAGGCAACCTTTAACAATTGTACGTATTACATACTCGACCGGACTATAAGGACTATGTATAATATTTTTAATTTTAACGTGGTTTTCAATTAGTGTATTGCCTGATCTTTTTTACATTCTCTAATGGTCTCTAATGTCTCTAAAGGAAGTAGACATAAATATAACCTTACTTCCTATTGCTTTCACGGGAACCAATATTTANAATTTTCGTTTGGTGAGTACCTAATCCTCCTACCAAAGACTGTACTTCTCGTTTCTCTAACCCCAAAAGATCAGCAGCTCCCCGCGTTAAGAAATTACTTTGCGATCCACTGTCCAGTAACGCGCGTAGTATTAACTCATGGCCGTCTTTATCATAAGCTCGTACACACGCGGATGACAATAACGTTTGAATTGATGTCTCGCTTAATGTGTGACTCGTGCACGATACGTCATTGAAAATTGATAATTTTACCTTAAATTGTCTAAGTATGCTTTCGTGTTTCTGTTTTTCCTTCACGTCCCTCGGAGTCATAACGATACAGTAAGGAAGGAAAGAAAGGAAAAAAGAACAAAATCTTACGATATAACCTCGCTTTTTCTTCGTATTCTTCGGTGCCCTGGCATCAATCCACGTTGTCGTCCCGTCGTCGATGCCCTTTCGAATGTAGGTGTGCCCTGATGCGGTTCGAAGGACCAAAATGTTTATGTGTAAAGGTAATTTGAATAAAACGCTGATTCACTTTCTTAAATTTCTAAGAGGAGGTGTTCGTCATTTAACGTTTCGTTTCGAACTCTTTCTTACTCTCACTTAAATTCGCTTCTCCCAACATAACAACAAAAAATAACGTTCGTACGTTACCCTTCGGCAGGGCTCGGCTCGGCACAACGTAAAATGATCTCATCGAGAGAAAAGTACTGAAGTAACACAAAGTATTGAGCGAACATCCTCCCCCCTTGAAATATTTATTTCAATACAAAAAAAAATGTGATAAGGAACTAAAACAGAATACAAACTAAAGAAATGATGCGAGTTAAATACACCTTTTTAGTCATTCAGAACTTGTGTCATTAGGTATCTTACACAAACGATGAACTGCTCGTTTAATAATACCTGTTCCCGTTCGAATTTCCGCGACCCTTGGAACGGAATCACTCCCGCACGTAACACTCACGATTCGTCCCATCAACCACCTGCATGGCGGCAGATTGTCTTCTTGCACAACCACAAAATCGTTGATCTTCAATGGTGGCTGAGGACGTTGCCATTTGGCTCTTTTTTGTAATTCAGAGAGATACTCTCTGCTCCATCTTTTCCAAAAATGTTGAACCCGCTGATATCGAAGTAATCGATGAGGTTTGAAGTCGATTAATTTATCGTCGATCAAAGAAGTAAGAGGCCTTCCAATAAGAAAATGTCCGGGAGTCAATGGGCATAAATCATTGGGATCGGAACTCATAGGATACATTGGTCGGGAATTAAGTATCGCTTCAATTTGTGTTAACAGCGTATAAAACTCTTCAAATACCAAGTGCGAAACAGAAGCAACTCGAGTTAAATGAAACTTTATTGACTTTACGGCAGCCTCCCATAATCCCCCAAAATGTGGAGATCTAGGCGGTATTGTTTTCCAGGAAATAGTTTCTTCGCTAAGAAAGTCATAAATTTTTTGGCAATCGTTGTTGTTAAATTTTAGTAATTTATTTCTAGCTCCGATAAAGTTCGTGGCGTTGTCGGAAAATACAGTATTAGGCCTTTACCTGTTTGCACCCTCTGGTACGCTTATCTTTAATCATGAATGGACCCGCGTAATCGATGCCGACATGTTCAAATGCAAACGAAGCACCTACTCGTTCTAATGGTAATTCTCCCATAAGAGGGGTTAAAGGTTGAGGATTTAATCTTGAACACTTCATGCATTTTCTCGTTATTGATCTCACTAAATTTCTGCCTCCTACTGGCCAATATTTATCGCGCATTAAACCAAGCAGAAGTTGCGGTCCACAATGAAAATTTTTTACATGTATGTCTTCGGCTATAAGTCTCGAAACAATATGTCGTTGAGGCAAAATAATCTGATGCTTGTTTTCAAAAGGTAACAAAGAATTTTTTAATCTTCCTCCAACTCGCAACAATCCGTTATCATCAATAAATGGTTTAAGCAGTAATAATTTCTTAGAAGTTTCGTTTTTCTTAATCAGTTTAATTTCGTCGTCGTAAACTTCTTGTTGTGCTAGTCTTAATAATATGTTTTCCGTGTCTTTCAATTCATGCGCTGTCAAAGAACAAGTTCGTTTGTTATCTCTTTTCCTAGCATTATGTATAAATCTGAGCACATACGCAGTGACTCGTCGTAGTTTCCTAAAATTTGAAAATTTGTTGAAAAGGTCGTTTGAAAAGAGTTTGTTCTCAGTCGCAATCATGCAAGTAGGCTCATTCGATTCAGATAATAATTCATCATCGCTGGCATCAGGACGCTTCAAGAGAGCTGTAAAATTTATATCGCTTTTTAACCATTCCGGCCCATACCACCATAAATCATTACCCTTCAGGAACTCTGCATCACAACCTCTGGTTAAGATATCAGCTGCGTTGTCTTTCGTTGAAACATGATGCCAAAACGATGCATTGCTTAAGGTTTGTATTTGAGAGACTCTGTTCGCAACGTAAGTTTTCCATTTCCTTGTATCGCCCGCAATCCAAGACAAAACGATTGTTGAATCACACCAATAAAATTCTCGTTCGATTGTCAAATCTAATGTTGCCCTTACACGTTTCATTAATTTAGCTAATAGTAATGCTCCACAAAGTTCTAATCTAGGTAGTGATATGTTTCGTAAAGGTGACACTCGCGATTTTGCGCATAATAAATTAATTGATACTTCACCATCATTGTTTTTCGATTTTACGTATACGCATGCCGCGTAAGCCTTAAGTGAAGCATCAGAAAATCCATGCAATTCCATTAAAGTTGGTTTATTAATTAATACGCGTCTCGGAATTATTATTCCTTCTATTTCCTTTAATTTTGATACGTAATTTAACCACTCATCTAACAAATCGCCTTTAATAGGATCATCCCAACCAAGTTGGCATTTCCACAGTGCCTGCATATATATTTTGGCTCGAATATGTATCGGACCTAATAAATGTAGAGGGTCATATATCCTACTGATCATAGACAACACGCTTCGCTTTGTTATTGTTTTGTAGTTATCGGAAGAAACATAATAATGAAGATGATCTTTGTGCGGCTGCCAAAATAATCCTAATGTTCGACTTGATTCGTTATCACTTAAATTTACAATTGTTAAGGGTTGTGCGTCGAGCTCATGGTCTTGAATTGAGTTTAAAATTTGCCTGTCGTTCGTTATCCACTTTCGCAGGTTGAATTTTGCAGTCTGCAAAATCTGTGTAATTTCTGTTTTCATTTTTTGTGCCTTTTCTAATGAATCAACTCCTGTTAAAAGATCATCCACGTAAAAGTCCTCTTGTATCGCCTTAGAAGCTGAAGGATATTGGTGCTGATTTTCGATGGCAAGTTGTTTCAAACATCGCGTCGCCAAATACGAGAAAGATGTCAATCCGTATGTTACTGTGTTAAGTTCATAGCATTTTATCTTTTCATCGACATTGTTTCGCCATAGAATGCGTTGATATTTTCGTTGGCTTGGGTTAATAAGTACTTGTCGGTACATTTTCTCGACATCTGCACCAAGTACGTACTTATGTTTTCGAAATCGTATCAGTATATTAAATAGATCGCTTTGAACGATAGGCCCTTTCATTTGTACATCATTTAAACTCAGCCCGGTGTCAGTCACCGCCGACCCATCAAATACGGTTCGTAATTTCGTGGTGCTACTGGATTCTTTTAAAACAGCATGGTGCGCCAGATAATATGTACCTGCTTCATTCTCCGTTTCTAGACAAGGAGACAAATGACCTAAATCTTGGTATTCAGAGATAAAAGACCTATACTGTACACTTAAGTTCTCATCGCGAGAAAATTTTCGCTCCATCGCTTGGAGCCTCTGTTGTGCATTTGTCCTCGATTCCCCTAACAGCGTAAGGTTCTCTCGGAATGGGATGTCTACTACAAATCGCCCATCCACTTCTCGTTTTGTGGTTTGTTCGAAAATTCTTTCACATGCGGATTCTTCATCGTTCATAGTTCGCTCTGGTAGCTCTTCTTGTTCCCAAAATCTAGCCAGCTGTTCTGTTATTGCGCAGAAAGTGTTCGTTTTCTGTTTGGAATGATATACGGAACCTGTTCCTGCCAATATGTAGCCTAATTTCGTTTGATGTAAGATTGGCATATTTTTTCCCATGTGTATTTGCTTATTTAATAAGCAAGACCAAAACACTGGCGATCCCAGCAGCAAGTCTACACGTCTGCTTTTGTTAAAATCAACATCAGCTAGTGGTATACCATCGGGAATTGGTAATTTTAATCTATTGAACGTTGTCATCGGAATGTTCTCAGCGATTTTATCAATGATTAGACAATTTACGCTTTCCTCGTAATTCGAGTGCAAAGATTTTATATTTAAGTCAACTGCGCTTGTAATTTTCGTTTGGTGAGTACCTAATCCTCCTACCAAAGACTGTACTTCTCGTTTCTCTAACCCCAAAAGATCAGCAGCTCCCCGCGTTAAGAAATTACTTTGCGATCCACTGTCCAGTAACGCGCGTAGTATTAACTCATGGCCGTCTTTATCATAAGCTCGTACACACGCGGTTGACAATAACGTTTGAATCGATGTCTCGCTTAATATGTGACTCGTGCACGATACGGTATTACCTTCCCAACGGTCGTCTTCGCGTTTATTTGTTGGCGCTGAATTTCTTCGTTGTGTTTCTATTTTGTCTTTATGAAGCATAGTGTGATGTTTTTTATTACATTTTTGACAAGTTTTACCTTTGCATTCAGAAGATGTGTGACCAGACCGTAAACAATTAAAACAAAGCCCCTTTCGCTTAACCAAATCGGCTCTTTCATCAATATGTTTCCTCTTAAACGATTCGCATTGAAAAACGCTGTGGTTGTCTTCGCATATAAAACATTTATACGTAACGTGTGTTGTCGTGAACGCGTTCGTTTTTTCTCGTCGGTTACCGCTGTTTTGTTCGTTAACACGTTTATCCGTAGATTTTGTTTGAATTGATTCAAGTAAATGTATTCTATCGTTAAGAAAAGTCACGAACTCGTCGTAAGTAGGCAACTTGTGCATGCTTTGCGCCGCTTCCCAATCGCGTTTCGTTGCGGAGTCTAATTTCGATACAGCAATATAAATCAAAAGTGCGTCCCAATGTTGGACTGGCAGTTTTAGTGTCTCTAGACAACGCAAGTTTCGTACCAACGTGTCCGTTAAATCTCTAAGCAATGTATAATTTTCTTTCTGAATTGCATTTATATCGAATATTGCCCTAATGTGGCCGTTTACTATTAATCTTAAGTTTTCATATCGTTTCTTCAGTAGATCCCACGCGATCTCGTAATTGCGTTCGGTAGCCTCCAACGCCTGAACCACACGTGCCGCGTCTCCTTTTAGGCAAGACTTTAGGTAATGAAACTTTTGAATGTTCATTAACGTCGAGTTTTCATGAACCAAAGATTTAAATGTATCACGAAATTCACCCCATGTTTCATACGTTCCCGCGAAAATCGGTAAATTGAGAGTGGGTAATTTTACTGAAGCCTCAACGCTAGGTGGTTGATTTATAAAGTGCGATACCGGAGTCGACGTATCTCGCGGTAAAAAAGAACGAGCTTTCGCGATGATTGACGTGTATAATTTCGTAAATTCTACTATATCTTTATCAATAATCGTTTTATTTTCTTCGCTGTTGTCTAGACATTCCAACGCGACGAAACACTCCTCCGCTTCGCGTAGATATGGCTCGCATACTTGTATAGAGTTTTTCCTTCACGTCCCTCGGAGTCATAACGATACAGTAAGGAAGGAAAGAAAGGAAAAAAGAACAAAATCTTACGATATAACCTCGCTTTTTCTTCGTATTCTTCGGTGCCCTGGCATCAATCCACGCTGTCGTCCCGTCGTCGATGCCCTTTCGAATGTAGGTGTGCCCTGATGCGGTTCGAAGGACCAAAATGTTTATGTGTAAAGGTAATTTGAATAAAACGCTGATTCACTTTCTTAAATTTCTAAGAGGAGGTGTTCGTCATTTAACGTTTCGTTTCGAACTCTTTCTTACTCTCACTCATCGAGATACATATACTTTACTGGAGTGCGTGCTCACGATATTCGCTTGGTCAAGAAAACGGTCCGATTCGCCAGCATGTTCCCCCACCCCATAACGGCAAGAAATGCAAATAGTACTAACTAATGGATATAATTCAGCATGAATTTATTCAATATTTACTAAGTAATTCAAATAATGTTATTCAATAATGATGAAAAATACCAAATAATACATATTTAAGTTATTATAGTTAGGAAAAAAAATAAAATAAATTTTACGTATGTTACATTGAAGCTTTTTGCCGTTATGGGGTGGGGGAGGCCGGATCGTTTTCTAGCTCAAAGCACGCACTCCAGTAAACATAGTATATCTCGATGCTTTCAGCACAGTTTGGAGGTGAATGACGGTCAGCTTGAGCACACTTTGTAGGTGCAACATATTATGTTTCTGTTGTTTTGATTTATTAAAATGAAACAACAGAAACATTTTTAGTCCATGGCTACCTATGATAGAAGATATATCAGGATAACACTCGTCAATATTAATTTACATATCCCGCTATATATTAAAAACCATTAGAGATATAAAAAAACTTTTTCATTCAATAATGCTAAGAATTATATGGGCATCCTATTTCTAAACAGACAAAAATGTGTTCGTTGAAAAAATAAATTTGTCTACGTCGCGACACCTAGCGTCGTCGTC